TTGACCCATTCATTTTTCAGGTGCATGTTGTTTAATTTCCATGTTTTTATACAGCTTCTAATGTCCCTTCTGTTATTGATTTCTAGTTTTATTACATTGTGGTCTAAAAAGATAACTCATATGATTTTAATTTTTTTGACTTTGTTGAGACTTGTTTTATGACCTTACGTATGGTTTCTTCTAGAGAATGTTCCATGTGCTGCTGAGAAGAATGTGTATTCTGGAGCTGTTAGATGAAATGTTTTATAAACGTCTTTTAGGTCCAGTTGATGTAGAGTGGAGATTAACTCTAATGTTTTTTGTTAATTTTCTGTGATGATCTGTGAATTGCTTAAAGTGGGGTGTTAAAGTCCCTGGCTATTATTGTATTGGAGTCTCTCTCTCTCTCTTTCATTGTGTCTAATAATATTTGCTTTATATATACGGGTGCTCCAGTGTTGGGTGCAGATATATTTAGAATTGTCAGATCCTCTTGTTGAGTAGTTCCCTTTATCATTATATAGTGACCTTTTTTTATCTTTTTGTACTTTCCTTGATTTGAAATCTGTTTTATCTAAGTGTAGTTTCTCCTCCTCTTTTTGGTTTCCATTTGTGTGAAATATCTTTTCCCATCCCTTCACTTTCAGTCTGTGTGTGTATTTATGGGTGAAGTGAGTTTCTTACTGGCAGCATATTGTGCTTCTTGTTTTATAATCCATTCAGCCACTCTGTTTTTTTTTTTTTTTTTTTTTTGGGGGGTGGGGGTGGGCAGCTGGCTGGTACTGATAACAAAGTACTCTGTGTCTTTTAATTGGTAAATTTAATCCATTTGTTGATTTTTTTTTTTTTTTTTTTTTTTTAGGGGGTGGGGGTGGGCAGCTGGCTGGTACTGATAACAAAGTACTCTGTGTCTTTTAATTGGTAAATTTAATCCATTTACATTTAGAATTATAAACTGAAAAGCATAAAAAAAGCCAAGTTTAGAACTAAGAAACACAATAACTGAATCACAAACTCAGTGGATATATTTAACAGCAGACATCATCATCAAGATATGAGGAGGACTCAGTGAAACAGATGACAAATGTACAGTGGAGAAAACTGAAAATGCCAGAACAAAGAATGCAAACTATTGTGATCTTCTTAATAGACATGGAAAAATAATTTGATAGAATTCAACATTCTTTCCTGATATAAACATTATCAAACTTGAAGTAGAAGGGAATTTTCAGTCTCATAAATGGTATCTATCAACATGGTTCTTATTGATTAAATATTGAATGCTTTCCTCCACACCCACCCAAGTTTAGGAACAAGGCAAGTATGTCCATTATCACAATTTTGTTCAACATTTTATTACAGGTCATAGCTAGTGTAATGAGACAAGACAAAAAAATAAGGGATATAAAGATTGGAAAGGAGGAAGTAAAATTGTCATTCACAGATGATATGATTGTGTATGTATAAAATATAAATAAATCTATTGATAAACTATTAAAATTAATATATGAATTTTTAAAAATTTGTTGGATACAAGGTAATGTAATAAATATCAGTTATCTTTCTTTACCCAACAAACATTTAGAAAATAGAATATTTAAATACCATTTACAATAGCATAAGAAAAAAAAAAATACCTAGGAAGAAATCTAGGGAAAGATGTGTAAGACATCTACATTGAAAAATACAAATATTGCTAAGAAAAATTAAAGAATGCCTAGATTAAGGCAAAAGTATATCATGTTCATGATTTGGAAGATGCAATCTTATTAAGATATCAGATATTCCCAAATCAAATTGATCCGTAGATTGAATGTGATCCTAATCAAAATCTCAGCAGGTTTCTTTTTGGAAATTAGAAAGTAGATTCTAAAATTCATAAGATATTATGAAGGACTAATACAATTATGTGTCAATTAGGAAAAAATAATAAAGTGGAAAAAAAATATGAAGAACTAGAATAACCAAGTCAATCTTGAAGAAGAACAATAAAGCTAGAGGACTTACACTACTAGATATCAACACTCATTATAAACTGTAGTAATTCAGACAGTGTGGTATTGGCATAAGGAGAGACAAACAGACAAATGGAACAGAATAGAGTCCAGAAATAAGTCAACAAGTATATGGACACCTGGTTTACCACAAAGGTACTATTTTCGTCAATCTTGAAGAAGAACAATAAAGCTAGAGGACTTACACTACTAGATATCAACACTCATTATAAACTGTAGTAATTCAGACAGTGTGGTATTGGCATAAGGAGAGACAAACAGACAAATGGAACAGAATAGAGTCCAGAAATAAGTCAACAAGTATATGGACACCTGGTTTACCACAAAGGTACTATTTTCTTTTTTTTTTTGTCCTTTTTGAGACCGGCCGCACTGCGCTCAGCCAGTGAGCACACCGGTCATCCCTATATAGGATCTGAACCTGCGGCGGGAGTGCTGCTGCACTCCCGAGTGCGCCACGGGCTCGGCTCACTACTTCTTTTCAATAAGGAAAGGGTGGTCTTTTTTAGTAAAGGATACTGAGTCAGTTGGTTATCATCAACTCAACCTCACAACATAGATAAAAATGAACTGTAGACTTAAATATAAAAGGTTTGAAGAAAAAAAGCCTTTTAGAAGAAAACTAGGAGAAAGAAGGAAAAAAAAACACATGAAATGAAACCAAGAAAAAGAAGAAAACTAGGAGAAAATCTTAGAATCTTGGGATAAGTAAAGATTTGTAAGACAGGACACAAAAAGCCTAACCATAAAAGAAATGATTAATACTTTAGATTTTATTAAAATTAAGAATTTCTTTTTATCAAAGGGCACTCTTAAGAGAGATAAAGCCACCATAGGCTGGGAGCAGGTCAATCTGCAGTACATATATCTGATAAATGATTTGTATCCTGAATATATAAAGAATGCTTACAAATCAATAAGAAACAGATTACTCAAAAAAGAATTTTTTAATGGGCAAAAGACTGGGATGGGCACTTCACAGAGAAAGGATATTTAGATGGCCAATATGCATAAGAAAAAGAACTTAGCATCTTTAGCTATAAGGAAAATGCAAATTAAAACGATAAGAAGATACTACTTTGCATGACCGAAATAGCTAAAATTTAAAGACTGACCATAGCAAGTATTGGCAAGGATGTAGATCAACTAGAACTCTCATATATTGCTGATGGGCATGTAACTGGTAGAAAACTGGCAGCATCTACTAAAGCTAAAACATGTATGTACTCTGTGACCCACTCCTAGGTATATACTCAAGAGAATGAGTACTTATATCCACCAAAAACAAGTTCAGAAATGTTCACAAAAACTTTATTCATAATATCCCATAACTGGAAACAATTCAGATTTGCATTAACAGAATAAAGGATAAAATGTGGTATATTTGTACAATGGATGGTGACATAACAATGAAAAAGAACTACTGTGGTGTGCAATAATGTGACGTAGTCATATAGATAAAATGTTGAGGAAAAAATCCAATTACAAAATAGTATATTGTATGATTTCTTTTACATGGATAAGTAGATGGATAGACAGAGTCCTTAATTACCCATGAATACATAAATATGTAGTTGTGGTGATAAGGGCTGAAAGAGTGGTTCCTTTGGCAGGGTAGGTAGGAGGATCCTGAGGGAGCTTTCTGGGGTGCTGGAGGATGTGGAGCCAATGGGAAGCACAGGAAGGAATGCCCATAGCAGTTGGGATTATTTGTAATAATCTCAACTGTAAATAACCCAGATGATTCTTAACTGAGGGCTGGGTGAATGTAATAAACTTTGTAATAGTTATAAGTGGAACACAACACAGTATGTGACAATGAATGAACTATACCTGTAAGTAATAACATAAATAAATCTTACAAACATAAAATTGGTGAAAGAAAAAGTCTTGTGAAAGAATGCGCCCTTTGATTCCATTCATATGAAGTTCAAAAATAGGCAAAACTAAACTATAGCTTTGGAAGTAAATTAGTTGGTTACCTATTCAGAGGATGGAAGGGCTAGTGATTGGAAGGGGGACAGGTAGGGGCGCTTCTGGCATGGTAGTGCTCTTGACTTGTGAGGTAATCATGCTAGCATTTGCTTTGTGGTTTTTCATTGAGCTTTATGTTTACATTCTGTGCTACAAGCTTGTTAAACTTCAATAAAAGGGGTTAGAAAACAAATAAATACCTGAAAGGTTTGTAGCTACTAAGTTCTAACATTTATAGATGTCTTTGTAAAACAACAAACCTGTTTGTAAAACTGAAAAAATACTACTTTTCTCAGTTTTGCTTTATATGTGGACTTTTCTATATTGTTTAATATGGAAAGCCATGCAGTGTTTACTTTTAGAAACTTTTTCCTTTGTATGTTGCAAAATTAGAATTTGTTCCCTTTAATATTTAGAAAGGCATACTTTAAAACCGAGATGCATCTATAATCTCTCTTAGCTTTCTGATTGTGTAATTTATTGCTTTGCTAGTAGTTTATCAATTGCTTCGCTAGTAGTTTATCAATTGCAAACATTTTAATTTTGAATTTTATTTCAGTTCTTTCAAACACATGATATCTTCTGGGATAATGAAGAGCTCATGATTTCTTATCATATGACAGGCAGACTCATTAGTAAAATCTGACTCCCTTTTTAGATTTTTTATTTGCAGCAATTTAGTTATTGATACTGATTTTCTGGTTTAGCTTTCATAACAGATCAATTTGGCACATTGAGAATATGAGGATAAATCACTTCCATAGATCTATGTTTTATTATCTTTGTAGTTTTCACTAAGAGACATATCTACCAGTCTTTGTTCCTAGTATTCACTGAAAACATTCATCTCTAAATAAAATTTTGTTGATGAGTAAGATATTCACTATATACAACGGTACTTCTAAAATTTCTTGGAAAAATATTATTAGAAGAAAATACAATTTTCCCATGGACTCTTTGAAGTATCCTCAAAGTTTTCTTCAAATAGATTATGTATTAACATACTTGTTCATATTGTTTCCCTTTTTCTAGAGAAAATCTCTTCATGAAAACAAATTGAAGAGACTACAAGAGAAAGTAGAAGTCTTAGAGGCAAAGAAAGAAGAATTGGAAACAGAAAATCAGGTGTTAAATAGGTAATGCATTTGTGTATATAATATACCCCATGTGGTTATTTTGATGTCATAGAACTTTGTTTCTGAGTTGAGTACTTTGCTTTCTTCTAAAATATACATTTAAAAGACTTCTAAAACTATTTGATAATCCCTAATGCATTATCCTTTATTTTTTTTCTAACTGAATATTCCTTCAAACCAAAAGGTCTCTATCATATGTCAGGGGCTTGTTATGGTTTTGACTGGCAGAAAGGGCCAGTCACTGGCTTTGGTACGGTAACTGGCCAGTAGCAGTGTGAAGTCTTGCTGCTGAGACAACAGTTGTAGCTGTTACATAGTTCCAAAGATTGTGGCTACAACTTTGAATCAAGTTTTAGTTTTTGGTTTCCTGGTGTAGAAAATATTATTGGGCTATAGCTTCTGGTTTTGCAGTCACATCCAAGCTAATAATCAGCATCATTAGTATTTTTTTCAACAGAGATTTACCATATTAAGTTGGTGATAGTGGCATTGTATAGCCCACTTGATTCAAGTTAATAAATATTTTTGAATTTAGCTAATTAGTTAGGCTTCAGCACTTTAGGTATTCAAGTATTAGACTTTTCTGTAATAGAAATTGCCTGTAATATCACACAGTAATGTTTTATGATGTGCATTGGTGTTCTTGGGTATAATTATTACCAAAATGTGAACAGTTGGTTTTTTTTAGAACACTCAAGAGGTTTCTAGACTGTAGAATTAATGCCAACTGTACAATACTCTGTTCCAAAGAAGGAAGCCACTAAATTTGTTCTAAAACAAAATTTGCCATATTACCTCTTCCATAACCATTAATATTGAAATATTATCAATTCAAGATCAGGCAGCTATGGCACAGATAATCTAGAACTTTGAGTGGTTTTGAAACTATATTTGATTACTGGTGTAAATGATGGTCAGCAAAGTCATGTCCAAAAAGATGATGATCTGTGAAAGCCTGAATAGTTAGCATTTTTCTCCATTTCCTTTTTTAGTAAAATTGGATAGCTTCACTTTTGTGCTGAACTATACTGTAAGATACAAGAAAACCTAAAGTATTTTTTCTGTTCTCACACAGTCAACACAGCACTTCTGACATCAGCTGTGTGTGGGGCTTTTCCCATGTACCAAGCAATCAGTTTTCCAGTGGATACCAGCTGGGTGTCCTATAATTCAATTCTGAAACTGTCTATCTGGAAATAGTATCAGATGCCACAGGTTGAGAGCTCATTTGCACAAGACAGCCCCCCACTTCAGATGCCAGTTGCAAGCCCCAAGTTGTGGCCTGTGCTTCCGACCAACCAGCTATAAATCTAGGTTCCCACAATCGTCTCCTCGGGTTTGATTAATTTGCTAGAGCAACTCACAGAACTCAGGGAAACATTTTACTTCCATTTAGCCGCTTATTGTAAAGGAAATTACAAAGGACAGAGATGAACACCCATATGGAAGAGATGCACAGGGCAGGGTATATGGGAAGGGATGTGGAGCTTTCATGTCATCTCCAGATGTGCCATCCTCCAGGTACCTCCATGTGTTTAACAACCCAGAACTCTGTCCTTTGGGGTTTTTATGGAGGCTTCATTATGTATGCATGGTTGATTACATCATTGGCCATTTGTGATCAACTCAACCTTCAGCCCCTCTCCCCTTCCAGGAGTTTGGGGAAGAGGAGGAAGCTGCAAGTTCCAATCCCCTTATCATGCCCTTGGTCTTTCTGGTGACCCTGTCCCCATCCAGAAGCTATCCAGGGGCCTCCAGATAACCAGTCATCTCGTTAGGATACAAAAGACTCCTATCACCCCGGAGATTCCAAGAATTTTACAAGGGATGTGTGCCATGAACTAGGGGCAGAGACCAAATATATATTTCTTATTATATCACAATGTCATACCTACATTTTAAAAACGAGGTTGAACTGTATGAAATTCTCTATATTTGACTATATTTCACCAAGAAAATGGCAATTTCAGAAGGTTCAACTCAGCATTTTCTCTATTTTTATTTGATTCCTTCCGTAATATAAGGCACTCTTTTGGCTTAAAGAGTCTCCTTTTAGTTTCAGAATTCATGGGTTGTGGGAATGAAAGTAAAAATATCAAAATATTTTAATCTTTGATTAACTGGAAAATAAAACTTTACAATGAGTTGACAGCCTCCAGTGCCAATAATAATTGCATGTGATTAAGACGTAATGTTATGTTTACCTAGAAAGATAAACGTATAGATAATATAATAATTTAGAAATCCTTCTCTTCCAACTTAAAATTATATTCTGTGAATCATGCTGTTCTTCAATAGGGTATAACTGTATTAAAGAACAGAAACAAGTTTTTTCCTTTTTAAGACAAAATGTTCCATTTGAAGAATATACAAGGCTTCAAAAAAGACTGAAGGATATACAAAGAAGACATAATGAATTTCGAAGTCTAATTTTGGCTCCTAACATGCCTTCAACAGCATCCATCAATCCTGTTAGCTTTCAGTCATCAGCTATGGTTCCAGGCATGGAACTATCCTTTCCTCCTCATATGCAGGTATGAACATTAATTTTAGTAAAAATAGAGTTAGTCAAACATTTCTGTAGGTTTTCACCTTTTTAAATATAGAGTTAAAACTCAAATTGTAAATGTGATCAGTGCTCAGAATTAGCCACAAAGATGGCATAACCATTTAAGGTCAGTCAGTTTTAATTTCTTCCCTTTCGTTTATCATAGAAATTTGCTGAGAAATAAAGCAGATTTGAATTTATTCCATCCTTGAGTAATGGTGCTGGGAGTAAAATCTCCTATTGGGCAATAGAGAAGAAAAAACATGATTAATGAGTCTTTGAGTAACCTAGAGTTTGTAGCTTACTCATATAATACCAGTTACTATTGAGCATTTACTAATGCCATGCACTGTGTACTTTTCATACAATATTTTAGTAAATACTAATGAAAAATGCTTTTATTATTATTCACAATTTATAGATGAGGAAACTGAGTCAGAGAGGTGAAGTGACTTGCCTAAGGTTTTATCTAATAAATGACACAGTTAAAGTTTCAAACTTAAATCTGTCTAGTTCCAAAACTTAGGCTCTTTCTACTGTATCAGCCCGAGATATTGAAGGAATCAAATTGATTGGATGGTTTTCAGAAGATTAAGTAGTTATATTTATAATGTTGTAAGTACAGAAGACTTTAGTCACTGAATTGAATCTCAGACTAAGTGCTTTGTTTATGATAAACTGCTGTTAAACTCCAGTCTTTTTAGAAAGTTGCCAGGTAAGTATACCTGGGCCCTGCATTGGTATTTTCTAATTAACTCCCTAGTGAATTTTATACCTACAAAAGAACAGACTATAGGTTTTACTTAAGGCTAGAGCCTGAGGCAGGAGAGAAGCAGCACTAGTTAGTAGTTTAGCCCATGCTGCTGTGTTTTAGACTGCAAAAATTGTTATCATTTCCTTGCCATATGTTGCAGGCCTGTATAAAAGAGGCATACTGAGGCTGGTGCCTAACAGTTACTTTTCTAGTTTTTCTAACAGTTTCTTTTGCTGTGCTTTCTCTACATCATTTTAAGGAGGAACAGCATCAAAGGGAACTCTCTCTACTTCGCAAAAGACTAGAAGAACTAGAAACAACACAAAGAAAACAACTAGAGGAACTTGGATCTCCTGGGGAATGATGTTCTTGGAGAAAAGGCAGATCAAAAGGGGTGAAATCAGTGACTTGATAAAGCTTGAAGTTTTCACATATGTGGCATTTAGACACTTTATTGCTGTTCGCCAAAACACTTGAATGTGCCTCAAGGAAAGGTACCAGCTGCATGTAGGATTTTAGGATTATAGTTATGATAAGTGAAGCATTAAAAGAAACAGTTTGATATTTAGAATATCAACAACCCTTTGAGAGTGTAAATAAATAAATGAATGAATAAATAAATGGAATTAATTAGGGAATCAAGGTTTTAAAATGATTTATTAATTTTACTTCGTTGAATTTTTTTGGCATTTTGCCTCAAATATGCCCTTGAATTCCCTCTTCCTCATATTTGAGTGCTTGGCAATAACAGGGTCAGTAAATATCTCCAGGTTTACTATATACAAGAGTTATAAATCTCTAATTTTTGAGGAAAAAAAATTTGTCAGCATAAAAAACAAAACTGAAAGGTATCTAAATATATATATATATTCATTACAAAAGGCTACCTTTTCTAAAAGCTGTGTGCACATAATTTATTAAAGAGCTTAATAAATATTTTTCTATCTATCTGTATTGTCTTGTGTTTAATTTTACTTGACCATACAGCATATATTTAGTGATGTAGAAGATCTCACTGATTTTGGCTTTGTTGAATTAAAATAAATAGAAAATAACAAAGTGCAGATAATTAAATCCTGTGGCTGTATTTAAAAAAAAAAAAAAAAAAGGACCAATGATTGTAAAACTTGAATACAGAGGAGTCCCTCTAGAAGTATTGTTGGTATTTAATTTTGCTTCCCACTATTTTGAATCTAGCCAAATGATCATAAATGTTTTTTTTTTTTTTTTTTTTTTTTTTTTTTTTTTTTTTTTCCGTGTCTGGCCACGGATCGCAACCCTCAGTGTTGCCCCCGTACCGGACCGGGGACCGGCAACGGGATTGCAACCCTCGGCGTTGCTCCCGTGCCTCGCTCAGCCAGTGAGCGGGAGCCGGTCTGCATGCGGGATCCGAACCCTCGGACAGGAGCGCCGCCGTGCTTCCCAAGCGGCGCACTATCCAGTGCGCCACCGGGCCGGCCCACTTCAGAAGCTTTTTTATGTAACATCTTCTAGAGGAATTCTGCTGGAATAATTTCATGTCAACAAGGCAAAACTCAAGTCTGCCAAACTAAGTGGAATGTTTATTATCTAGGACTTCACAGTCAAAAGTCCAAGTTTATAGTGGAGGCCAGGGAAGTAATTGAGCAGCACTTAGCATCATTTAGCAAGAAACTAGGTTTCTGTAACTATATAATGTAGCTGCTTATTCACATACAGTATACAGTGACACCTCGTTCTTTAAAAAAAAATTAATATCCTTGGAGCCACTTAGAAGAAACAAATCTATTATAAATAGAAAGTTGGAAAAAAAATACAAAAACAGTCCACAGTTACATCAAAATGTTTATTTTTGGATATAGACATTTAAAACATTCATCTCCAAGAACAGCTTCAATCAGGTATACAATAAGAAATAGACTTTTAATCCTAATACGAAAAAGGTAACAGAATTAATTTTTAAATGCTGCTGTAGACACTAGTGTTAGAAAAAAAAGTATATAAATGAATAGTTTTGCACCAAAAAAAATATGCAAAGAAACTTGAAAATAGAAATTGTTTGCCATTTGTTTCTCTGGTTGCTGTTAGACCCAGTGACTGATTGTCTTCAGCACACATCTAATTTGGCCATTTACTGCATTTGGCTAACGTGATCCAAAATGTGATCTAGATAGTGCTTTTCACTGGAGGATTGACAAACACGCTACATACATTAGTGAATCTTCACACCACCTCAGTGAGGTAGGTTAGAAATATTATACAGAAATCGAGGCACAAAGAGGTAAGTGACTTGCCCAAAGTTCCCAATAGCACAGTCCCTGGAAGAAGAGGTAACTCTTCACATAGGACTCATGTGCCAGAGAGCTGGACAGGGACACCCTCATGTAGCATTTAGTAAATACTTAGATAAAGCTGTAGCTGATCCTTTGAGTTTTCTGTACCCTAAAGAAGGGGAAATCTTTTGGGCAACTCTCCTACCCTTGGCTCTCAACTCTCCTACTGTTCTTTTATGAACTCTTTCACCTCTTTGAAGACTTTAGCAGCCTTACATGGGGACCGGACTCTCACCTTTATTCTTATAAGTAACCTATTTGGTAGTACTTTTGAGGTGTGTCCATTGGACAGACAATGGTCAAAAGTGACAGGATTGGGAAGGTGCCTATCAGGGCTGTAACTGCTTATTTTCTCTGATGAGTTTGTTGAGGTGTCACCTCTCTCACTCTTTACCAGATATTAAAGAGCAAAAAAGAATTGGGTTTATCTAAGACAAATTCACATTTAAATCCTGATGTTCCATTCAGTGTTGGTAAATGATTTTAAAAATGTATGATCAATGTTCTATTTGCTACTTGCAAAATTTTTTTTCCTAGATTGGGGATTTGGAGCACCAAGGACAGGTGCCTGCCACAAGAAAAGCTTGAGAGTTGCCAATTTCGCTTCTTACTTCTTCTGGTTTAATAGAAGGAAAACACAGTGGTATTGAAATTGGTCATGAGCAGCAAAAATTCAGGAATAAAAAATCAGCAATAAAAAGACTACAGTATAACTGGATAGGGAATTCATTAAAAAGAAAGGCATGAATAAAATGGGTATTTTAAATTCTTTCTCCTGTGAGAAATACCTTCAGAAAGTACATAGTAAGACTAAGATACCAAGTTGTATACTAATATTTTTCAGGCCTTGGGCCTCAGATATATATATTTATATATGATACTCCGGTGTGAACAGCAATTTGATGAAATGTAAAATGTATCTTTTTTTTTCAAATCACACACAAGTATTTATAACCACAGGGTTCACCAGAAATCTAAAGCAAGGAGACATTAGTATAGAAGTGAAGGTTAATGCTTGCACAGATAGTTCTGATCAAAGGTTTTTAAGCAGAAATAAACTAATTTTTTTTTTTTTTTACAATACCCAACATGTCCAACTATCAAATACATTTAGTATGAAAAAGTAAATGAAAAAATGGGACACACATGGGACAGAGTGTCTGGGTAAAATGCTGTTGTATTTAAATAAAGCTCACTCTCCTTGCTTTAGAGCTCCTTGGTGAAATGGAGGTGAGTTTGATGGAGTGCAGTTGGTGACCACTGAAAAACACGAGCCCTTTCAACAATGTTGCAACACTGTTAGTTTTTGGTTTAAACACACACACCACACACTCACAAATGCTAAGTGTACACACTACCAAATTCTGCGGTCAGCTTTTCCAAGAACTACTGGGGAAAGTTTCAATGCTGCAAATCCTCGAGGTTGCCCTAACACCCCCACCTTGTTTCCAAATGACTCATTTCACATTTTGTTTTAAGCATTGGCAGTATCCCTTTTCTGCAGAAGTGCAGTGTAGTCACAAGTGCTACATAACTGTAGTTTTCAAACAAAACCACTTATATCATTGTGCTTAAGTGGAGACTGTAGTTAACAATACTGACACTTGTTTACTGGCCCTGTATTCTCTGTAAACAAGGAGGCTGTTTGCAACAACCACTTCAACTCTATTTACAAAAGGGTTCCCACATTATACACACAGGCACAATGGTTGGTATGCTTTCTAAAAGCTGTGCATGTGCCTTGGTGTCTTAAAGACAGTGCTCAAAGTGGAACCTATGTGCAAACTTAAAAAATAAACGACACAGAGTAGCTCAAGCAGCTATTTTGCTCCCAAGTCATCTGAAGAACTTTGCCAGATTAAGCCAGGCCCCAGAGCGCTTACATCCACTTGCATTTCTTCTTTTCATCAAATAAGACTTTTACATGCAAGAGTTGTTTCTGAGCTTCTTCCAGACCTCGTTCTCTTTCTAGTTTATTTAGGATCTGTTGACAATTAGAACAGTTATTTTAGATATTGTGGTTTTAGCATTACAATTCTTTTTTTTTGCATTCCTGATGCTATGAGTGGTAAAATCTGTATGAAACAGACACCAACATTTTCTTTGATCATTTACATACTCACTTTGCAAGTTGTTTTGCTAAGTCATTATCACAGGATCAACAACACTTTGACTTAAAATAGAAGCTCGCAAGATACACCAATTATTTGCTTACAAATATGGGGCCAGACTTCCAAGGCCCTGCTTTATGCATTACGTCACAGCCATTCCAAGCACAGCAAGCATTTCTAGGCAGCCAACATGCAGGCAAGTATTTCTATTCAAATGCAGCAGGCAGGGGCATCCTGGTCAGAGAGAAATACTTCCCTCCCCTCCCCTCCCATCTTGGGCAGTGTAGTCCCTCCTCTTCCCTCCCCTCCCCTCCCCAGTGCTTCCCTTCTCACCCCTGACCCCTGGAAAGAGGGATGCTTTCATGTTTAAGGAACTCATTGCCTCTACCCTACCTTAGCGCTTCACTTGATCTTCAAGTAGCAAATGGAATTAGTGAGCTATTCTCACCATTGACATGGATAGCCTGTCCCAGCATGACTGAGTGGGGGGGAATCAGGGAAGGGGGAATTAACATATATTTGGAAACAATGCATTTTATGAATGTGTCTGTGTGAATTCCCAAAGAAAAAAATCCAGATTAAGGAGAGTTAATCATAAAGGAGAATGGTTTATTGAAATAGTTGCTTAAGTTAGAAATGTCATAATTTCTTATAACTATCGAATACAGAATCTAGGCAATTTAACAAGCTTAGCTTTCATTTTAGCAGATTACAATCAAGCATAAGCTGGCCCCATTTAATACGGCCATTACTTACTCATCAAAGTTAACTCAGTGTGGCTGTAGGCCCCATAAACTCAAATGTAAATTCAAGCTGGTCCAAAGGTGGGCAGCACGATAAAATTGTAAGGGGGCAGCCATGTGCAGGGTCTGGCTTGGTGCCAGGATCCCCCATCTCAGACAGGCTTCCTGGCCTCCCTTTCCGGCCATTTGGGATGCCGGAGCTGTCCCAAGACCTATAGAATGCTATAACCGAATCCTTGTGACTGATTCACAGGTTAAAAGCAATGTTATTTAAAATCTTACCTCATCAAAATATTTTACGATGTATTTGTAGATTTCCGTCAAGGCCACTTCTTCATTAAATTCGTTTTCATGTTTCTAAAAGAAAGAAAGGCTGTTGCGAGATTGTGAAATGACTTTTTAAAAAAATACAAAGAAGTAACCAAACATAAGCTTATTTTTGTTTTCTAATGATACCTTAGATTCCTGAGTTAAGAATTCTTCCATTTCTGAAGACGACAATGGAGGCAAATCCCTGATAGCTTTGTAATAAGATTTTACTTCCTCTTTGTAGGTTGGGATATCCTTGGCATAGAGAAGTTTATTAGTTGGTGCTTCCTGAAAAAAAGCAACCACCACCAAAAGTGTAAAAAAACCATGGGGAATTTATAACAGTACCAATATAGCTGAACCTCCACCACCAGTACTACCTCCTGCTAACGAGGCTTCATGCAGTAGGTCTTAAACGTTGTTGGCTGAATGACTGACTGCCATCTAGATAGTTCTGGTGAGTCACTGTTATT